ATTTCAAGGACTACGTCCTTGATACGCTGCATATGAGATTGAGAATTTTTGATGCTTTACTAAATGATATCCTGAAACATGCATCTCAAACGCAGAAATTTGGAAAAGCTCATCTTGATATAGTCCAAAAAAGAATAAATATTCTTAACGCTCATGCGTAGAAAACAGTAGGTAGGAGATTTTTCTTTAAACTCGACTATGAAAACAACAGCATTAAACAATGCAGCAGATTTGTTATGATCTGCCATTCCTGGGAGCTCACAAGACGTTGTTTTCTTCTTCTTCTCCTTTCTTTCTATTATTGCGTAACTCTTGTTTCATTCTTTCGTTTTCGTTTCTTTCTGTTATTGCGCAATTCTAGCTTCATAATGGGATTTTCCTAAACTATTTCTGTTCTTATGTAACTCATGCGCAACTCTTGCATAACTGTTGTTCAACTTGTGTACTATATATAGCCGTTCACTTTCTTAAATAAAGATGCGAAGTGAGTGAGTAGAACCTCACAAGATTTTCGGGGCGATTACAGGAACTTTTCTTCATCGACACATTCCCGTATTTAGAAATTATTGAAGACTCCAGCATTTCATCAGCGGCAAAAACAGCGGTAGACAAATTTTAAGATCTCTTAAAAGCCTTGAAGGAGGAAAAAAGCAAACGAAAAAAGGTTTTGGAAGTGCTCTCAAAAGAATTTGTCGACGGATTAACTGAGTCAGGGCTTAGATCAAAAATTACCCCTTACATGCATATTATCGGAAATCATCTATCTCAATTTGATGAGCTAGAAGACTTAGGTGCATTTGATATGCAAGGCGTAGAGAAAGGAAATGATTTATTGTCTCATCTTTATTTTTCATCGAGCAATCCAGCAAAAACACCTCTAAAGACAATGATGCTTCATCTTTATCGCTTGTTAGAAATGAATTTTGAAAACCCTCGCGAAAGAGACGCTATGGCCCGTTTTGCTGAGATGAAAGTCTACGACCTTGATGAGAACGAGGTGTTCTTCAGCTCCGAAGACTTACAGGATCCAATTTGACATTTCTAACAGAAATTCTTTATACATGGAGTCAGATCTCGCCGAATCTAGTGAAACGGAAAACTCTGAAGAGCCTGGTGATATTGAGGTATCGTTGTGTGAAAGTCAAAGTCGGCAGTTTTAAGTAGAAAAAATACAATTTCTTGTCCTTACTTGCTCTTAATGGCGATGTTAGCCGCCTTCATTTTGTATTATACTCTGTTCTCGAAGACAAGACCGAGTAAAACAGGGTACAAATTACTCAAATAGGATGTATTGTTCTTTACTTATCCAACAATTAGTCTATCTATTTTATTGAAAACAGTCAAGATTTGGTAGTGAAACTCAAACAGTGAGAATGACTTCCGAATGTTCTAATCCTGACTTTTAGCCGCAAAATTTTACTTTTGCATTTTATTTGAATAGCACGCAGAAAGAATATGAGACCATAAAAAATGCAACTCCCTTGCTTGCCTTATTATTATCCTGTGATCTGTTCTTGAAGACAATTGCCGAGTAAAACAGATCGCAGTCTGGTCTAAAGGGAATTATGGCTAGAAAACTTTTGACGTATTTACACAGTTGAATAACTAAAAAGCCACATGTCGCTCTTTTTTATTCTTACACAATATATCATTCTACTGCTTATATATATGTATTAGAATATTTATTCATATGCTCATTTAAAAAGGTAGCCCCGTTTCTGCTTTAGTCAGGAAAAGAACAGAATAAGTGAGAAATATACTTATCTGTTGATATGCGCTGATGGCAAAATGGGTTAAATACTACGCTTATCATCAGGTCGTCGACGCATTGTATGTCGCTAGTTTATCAGAATGTATCGAATTAGACAACGTAGCAGCTGTTAAAGGATAGAAAATAGCGCTTATATCTCAAAAAACTAAATATGAGCTCTCAAAAAATCCCAGATCCCAGGTGTGTAAAAAGGTAAATATTTATGCACTTCTGCTACTTTGAAAATAAGTTCTATCGCTAGCAGCTGGATATATGCACTTGCTGATCTCATTAAATACGCATTCTCTGCCCAATTAGAGCATTCTGGCACCTCGGACTTGCTTTCAATATATACAGAGCACTAGGAAATTCAATTAAAATTATGAATTTTTCATATTTTTTACAGTTCTACGACATTAGAGTATCTAACTTTCACAGTGCATAAATGCTTCATGCGTTATCCACTTACGACCTGCTTGATTTTAAGACAAAAAAAGTATTAAAAAAAGAATATAAATCATNTAAATCATTTTTCAAGACTAGTAACAGCTGCTACGCTTTAATCCGTTCACTTTTTTTTATCCCCAGCAATTCCAATAAAGTCATTTTCTAAACGTATTTTTAATGGCTGGCGACTTGATGATTACGATAAGTGAGTGTCGAGGTTCGAAACTCGTCAGCGCTTAATTTTTATTTATTTCTCCTTTATTTTACAGCAAATTTTATTTTTATTTTTTTTTTGCTGGGGTGTCGGCCATGCGTCAGAGTCAAACTAGTGCCGATCCACTCAGTCGATTATGGGCTACAAAACCCCACTAGTCTCAGATTGGCAATACCTCAAGAAAAAAAACCGCTTTAAGTTGATATGGGATCTCGTCTTGTTCTTTCATATTGAAATTCTCTTTCCTAGGAAAAATGTGTCATTTAATTCTCTACGAAAAACATACTGAACATGTTATCTTAAAAAATGAAAGAATGTGGAGGAAATACTGCGAAGCTTCATTCTCGATTACTTCCTAATACAAAAACAACGAGAAACAAGTTTATTCTGAGCACGTTGTAATGCGTCGAAGTGGAATATAATGTATGCTCTAGTGGTTCGTAGTGTTGTCTTCCTTTGTAGTCAGCTACAGCTTTCCTTCTACAGATTTTATTATGCTCTTTTACTCCTATGGCTCACACAGAATCTCAATGAACGAATCAGAAGCTTCTTAAATGAAAAAAAGGTTTGAAACTTGCTTTTCATAATTCTAAAGAAATTATCTTTGACAGCCCTAAGTGACTTCTTTTCATTATCACTATTTTTGTCCGACTCTTGATTTGATAATTTTACTAATGACTTTTTCGACGTGCTCAGAATAAACTTGTTTCTCGTTGTTTTTTGTATTAGGAAGTAATCGAGAATGAAGCTTCGCAGTATTTCCTTCACATTCTTTCATTTTTAAGATAACATGTTCAGTACGTTTTTCGTAGAGAATTAAATGACACATTTTTCCTAGGAAAAGAATAAAGATTTTATCACATTTCTGGGCTCAGGTATACGCAGCACAAACAAGAGCAAATAATTTCAGCCACATGGTTAGGTAGAGGACACCGTGTTAAGTAAAAAAAAGTTAATTTTTAGTTTTGAAAAAATTTTTTGAAGGTGAAAGTTTTGAAAATTTGAAACTAACCTTTTTGAATTCAGCATTGAAAACTGAATCTAGAGAAGATGTTTGGTTGATCTCACCGTGGGGAATTTAACGGACATACGTCTGAGATCTTTACAATTTAATGTTCTCTATCGAACTACGGTATAATCAACTCTTTACATCTAGAACTGTAGTTTCTAATCTAATCTTAAAAATAGAGCAAAAAAATTACAAGCTATTAGTCTACAATGGGAAGCAATCTTTGAAACATATACTTCGAAGCGTCCTCTACCTCTAGAAATAGTCAATGTAAAAGAAGTAGTGATCAGTTTCAAGCAGCAAAAAGTCAAGTAGATAATCTTGCCAAGGGAAAGAATATATGACTTTCCCCGAACCTTTATTAAGTAATCATGCATTTGCAACTACATTCACTCAGGTAACTATATACGTCTACTCAAAGTAGAACGAAGTGAACGGTAATTTGAATAGCTTTTGATAGGGGAACTTCCAGCATACGCTGATAATGACATTCTTGACAAGTAAAGATGCATCAGTAGTTACAAAACATTTTAGAAACTATAATGTTCAGATACAAGTTTCAGGACATTTTAGAACATAAAGCACTGTTGTTTTCTATTTCGCATCCTATATTCTTTTAAACACGTTAAACTGAGTATATCTGGAATTTGCAAGTCATTCGGAAGAATTATGAATCAGATATAAATTTTGTACTGCTGAAACTGAAGAAAAGGTTTAACCAAAACTTGATTTTTGCTAGGTTTTCGGAACAATTTTCAGAAACAAAAGATTGTCACCAGGCTTGACATAGTAAATAGTCCATATTTTCCTAAAAGAAGTTAAAGAAACAATACTATATCTTGTGCTCATGTTTTATTATCGTGGGATTAGTAACATAACATAGCATAGACAGATTCCTACACTATACAACAATACGTGTCATATGGTGTCTTTTTTCTTGTTTTTGATTTTTCAAAAAAGTAGAAAAAAATGAGCCACCTCAAAAATGTTAAAAGTACTAGACTAAATAATGGATCGAGAGAGATGAAAATGATTGTTTAGTTTATGTTAAATACTCTAACATCAAAAACATCATAAGATAGGTTACAGATTAGCCGTTGAAATTGGTTAAATGTCGAATTTTTTAGAAAATTCTTACAAAGACCAGCGACTGTCAAACATTCTCTATTTTAGTAGTTTTCAATTTAACGATGCTCTGTAGTATTTTCATGATAAATGGCAAATTCTTCCAAAATGAACTGAAGTTTTACTACAACATGCGACCATCACACTTTAATGTACACACCCTCCCATCTAACCTTGCTCATGTTGTCAAAAAATAAATAACGATTGCGTAAAATAAAATACTGTATTATTGTAATATGTCGAATACAAATAGCCTTATTTAGATTGATATTCACACATGAATGCTTTTTTGCGAAGGTAGATAATCTAATTTTTATGACTCATTTATTATTTTTGTTCTAGTTCTTTCTTATGCGAACTAAGCAATTATATGAAGTATATGCAAAGAAAAAATATCTTCAGAATCAAAAATATTTGTTGAAACATTATTATTCTATGAAATAGTCAGCAAAAGAATGTTAATATTATTACAACTTCTTTTACTTATTGGTATTTGCAATTTATCACCTACCTGCCCACCGTGTGCTATACCTGATCTCTGTATTAAATGTCCAACAGGATGTTTGCAAGCGAGTGCTTGTGCTCGATCGACATGTGTGAAAGGAAAATGTGAAACAATTGGACCTACTTGTTCAAATTGTACAACTGCCACAACAGTAAAAATAAAAACAACCACTCCTCAAAAGTGTAAAAAAGATACGGATTGTAAATCTCTTGAACACAAAATTTGTGCTACTTGTATAAATGGTCTTCATCCTCCATGTACAAGTGTTCAGTGTAAACAAGGCCTATGTCATACAATACAACCATGTTCATTACCTCAAACATGTTCAAAACATAAAAATTGTACATATTCTAAGCGTGTTTGTGCACCATGTCCATATAATTGTGGCCCTGGATGTACAACATTTAAATGTAATGATAGTAAATGTGAATTAATACCATATTGTTCAATATGTAAACAATCAACACAACAAAAATGTAAATGTAATTCAAATTGTACAAAACCTACAAATAAAAATAAGGTGTGTGCTGATTGTATGTCAAATCAGGCACCATCTTGCACACAAACATTATGCGAAAATTCAAAGTGTGTTACAATTCCACCATGTTCAAAACAAGCATGTTCAACAGATAAACCATGTATTTTTAACGGACCAATATGTTTGAATAATGCAACATGTCCTAAAGGTTATGGGCCAAAATGTGCTAAATCTGAATGTTATAATGGATTTTGTAATTTAATAGAGCCTTGTTCACAGCATACACAATGTCAAGATTAACAATACGCTTCATAAAAACTTTTAATCGTGTGTAGAAAACTTTTTATTATAGGTTTGAATGTTAAGAAGTTGAATATTCAGGTTTTGTTCCTATGTTCCAGTTATCGTTTTAATCATTGGTGATTAACATTCCACTTATTTTAAAAATCGAGAAGTTTTTATTACTATATCCTCGCATGTCACTTGATAGTTCGCTACAACTAAACTTCGAACTTTAATCTCTCTGTTAACCAGTATTTTGTATACATATTGTGGTGTTTTAATAAAATATACTTCAACAGCTAAAAGCTGAACATCATAATTGATTGCCTAAAGAACGCAGCCCGTTATAATATCACATGCCTACCATTTACGTTCATCTTAAATAATGGTAACATACAAACAATGCATTTGTTTGGAATGATATCTTTTTTGGATCTTTTGAGTGAATGGTATCTTTTTATTGAAGAAAACGTTTCCTTCTCTTGAATTCATGTTTTTTACCCTTTTTCGCGTTAACTCTCATCCATCTGTATCATTTCAGAACTGGTAAAGTCACTTTTTATGTTCAAAATACATGTAGTATATTTAAAAGTGTTGACTTTTTAATTCATAATCCAAATAAAAATAATATACATTATCTTAAATGACATTCTCCCTGGATTCTGTTAAAAACAGTTACAATCAAATACAAATTGAGCGCAATACAACACTTTATTTTCTGTTCTAAGTGTGTGAATCACTTTGTACTTCAACAACTGCTCTTTCTGCTGGTGCAGAATCTCATCATCACATCACAATTTTTAGAAAACTAATATCAAGACGCTTTTTAAACGAATTTGATAAAAACTGCTCTATTTTTGATTTTATCAACAGACGTAGGAATCTCTAGAGTATGTTCTCTAAAGAAACGATCTAGTTCTCCAACACTTCTTAAGTGTAAAATGGACAGAATAATTTTTTGTGCTGAAAGTGTCAAATTATGCCGTCAGAAATAGAGAAAACCTAAAAGAAAAATGGCAGGTAGATTATGTTAAGCTACGTTAGAAATAAGTAGTTGTCCTTCTTTACACCTTGTTTTAATTCTATCATCTTGTTGTTGAAATTTTCCGTCCACTAACTGTGTGTTGGACTGTACAAAAAACAGGTGCCGTTTTATATAAAGTTTTGGTGAAGAATAATGTGAATCGAGCTGACTGTATGTTTTTGATGAATGATTCTGACTAAACGATATTTTGAACGACCTTTTGAAGATTTATAATTTCATTTGTACCATTTGTGGATTCAATAGATGATGACGATGACATTTTCGATCTCTTTTCACTTTGACCGCTCAGAGGTTTCTCTATTAAAATTATTAAAATTATTGTCAATTATTTCAGACTATTATAGGTGTCTTTTTCGTGTTTGTTTACACATGTGTATACGTCTATACTACATGAAGAATATAGCACATAATTACTTTCTCAAGGAATGTACATAAAACCTAAAACACATTTTCTTGAATGCAAAATTTTGAACGTATTGATCATTCAATTGCTATCGCCGTCAAAAGCAATGTCTCCGATGATTTTTTGAGTAACTCTTTTAGAGCAAAGAGCTATAAACCTGCGATTTGCACTGTTGTGCCGCCAGAAACTGAACCTGTAAGACTACCTAGTCAAAAAAAAAGGTCAGAAGTAGGAGTATGAAGGTGCGCTCTATTTTCGGCGCACTCCTTTTGGGAAATGGATCACTTCTTTGAAAAAAGTCACTAAGAACACTCGTTTTTGGAGTAGTCCAAACTACTCCTTAAAAAAAGAGCTCTTCAGAGCACGCCTTTTTATGGAGTGCAGCTGAGGAACTGCAGAGCACTTCGAAAAAAGTGTAGTTTTTGTAGTACTCCTTTTGAGAACATGCACTTCGAGTACTCCGGAGTAATTCTTAAAAAAGGGTTATTGAGATTACTCCTTTCTTTTTTTACCAAAAAAAGTGCTCCATCATACTCCTCTTGATATGTTTTACTGGATATGCAAAGCTCTGATCCCGAGCACCACCTGCATACTACATGGAACGTGAAAAATGTGATCTGTTATTTGAATATGTTCCATTTTGTAGATCTGATTTTGTTATATAGTACTATGATAGAGAAAAGATGATTGCTTGTCTCTCTCACTGGTTTTTGAACATTTTAAACCTTTTTGATTTTTTAAACTCGACTTGTTTGATACTAATAGATATGTTTTACAACCGCCTATTCGTTACAGAAAAGCCCAAGCTTTGGAAACTTGGACTGGTTCTTACTACGCGCGC